CACACGCAAAAGGGGGAGCTCCCGCACTTCAGGAAGTTGGAGACTGAATGAAGAGCCCAGAACAATGTCCACACGTTAACAACATCGTCCTGATTACAGGAAGGAAGAGGGGAAAGGAAGACTTGAACACTGATGGACAAGCATCCATCAGAGCAGTCCATGGCCTGAGGTCGGGAAGGCAGGATGAGTTCCTGAGCCGCCCCCAGAGCAGAGACAGCCGGGCAGGTGGGCTGGGCTTTAGCCATCCACACTCCCTTCCTTCCCGAAGGTCTCCTTCCAGGCTCTGGCTGGAGGGTTTAAGGCAGGCAATGGTCCCAGAAAGGTGACCCCTGCATGCTGGAGGTCTCCAGTGGAGGTGAACTGTGACTTCCTGCAGCCAAGGGGGGAATAAATCCCGGTGGCCCCAAAAGAAAGCCATGGCGAAGTTCCCTCCCACTCTCTGCTCGGCTGGGTCTGTAAGTGCCCAGTGACCCAAACTGGATCTTGAGAAAGGAGAGCCCGGAAATGACGTGGGCTCTCTGGGGGTCCCAGGAGCACCAGGAGCAGCCCCTTGGGGCTGGCAGGGCCAGACAACGAGGACAGCGGCCCCAGAATGAAGACCACAGGCAGGCAGCAGCAATCACAGTCTGGGCGCAGGGATCTAGAGATTGCTGTTCTCCTAGGACAGGGTTTCTCTTCCCTGGGTGTTCATTAGAAGCACCTGGGGAGCTTCAAACCCCCCCTCCCCCACCCCAGTGGCCAGGCTACCTCCCCGCATAACCTAATCAGAACCTTTGGGGTGAGACATTAGGATCGATATTCTTTAAAGGCACTCCAGGTCACCCTGGCCAGTTTTGCTCCGGGGTCAGAGCATTGGCCTGAGGACCGAACGGTAGGGGGTTCAATTACTGGTCAAGGGCACGTACCTGGGTTGCAGGTTCGATCCTCCACCCTGATCAGGGTTGTGTGGGAGGCAACCAGTCGATGTGTCTCTCTCAGATCAATATTTCTTTCTCTCTCTCTCTCTCTCTCTCCCCCTTCCTCTCTTCCACTCTATCTAAAATCAATGGGAAAATATCCTGTGGTGAGGATTAACAAAAAAAATTATAATAATTAATTAATTAGTTAATTAATTAAAAGCACTCCTGGCTATTCTAGGGTGCAGTCAGGAATGAGAACCCTTGTCCTGGTGAACAGTGAACGTGCCATGTACAGGACAGAGACAGCCCCCTAGTTTCTACAGGGAGGATAGAGATTTAAGACCTTGAACTAAATGAATATAGCAAGTGTGAAACAGGAGCAGAAAAGCAAAAACTAAGTAAATAACAGTAAAATGTAAGCCCATTCCAGTCACTACTCACCTAAGGATTTCTTAGCTTTTATTTTATATAAATTAAAGCAAACACTACACATTCTTTTGTGTCTCATTCTCCTATAATTCAAAATGAATGACTGACACGTCTACCTGTGATGATATAGATCATTCACTCTCACTAGCATATGTTCTGCCTCGGGCGGTCATACCGTGCTTTCTCTACCCATGTTCACGATTCCTTTGGCAGTGTCAAGCTAGCGACAATTACAAACAGAAGCGCTCTACTCATCTTACATGTATGTACATGTTCCTAGCAGTGAAATTGCTGGGTCATACCACCTGCATATGTTCAGCTTCAGATGTCACTGCCAAGTTTTCCAACGCACTCGTACCGGCTGACATCGCTGCAGTCAAGCGTGGAGGTTCATTCTCCTGCACGGGCATACCAACACATGGCGTTTCCCATCTTCATGATTAGAGCCTTTCTAGTGGGTGGCTCATGGTTTTACTCTAGGGCCAGTGATCCATCAATGCCGCTCTCATTTTTGTGGACTCTCTAGGGATGAATTCAAATGAGGAGCTAGATGCCGTGTGTATTAGTTGAGGTTCTCCAGAGAAACATAACCAATAGGATGGATGGATGGATGGATGGATGGATGGATGGATGGATGGACAAATGGATGCACGGATGGATGAAAAGATAGAGATGATAGATAGATAGATAGATAGATAGATAGATAGATAGATAGATAGATAGATAGATGGATGACAGATAGATATTAATAATTGGGTCATGTGATTATAGAGGCTGAGAAGTCTCAAGATCTGTAGTTAGCAAGCTGGAAAACTAGAAAAACTATCTGTAGTTTCAGTCTAAAAGCTACCAGGCTTGAGACCCAAAAAGAGCTGATGTTTTAGTTCAAGTCCAAAGGCCTGAAGAGACCAATGTTCCAGCTCAAAGGAGTCAGGCAGGAAGAATTAATTCTCTCTTGTGGGAGGATCAGCCTTCTTCTTCTGTTCAGGCCTTCACATGATTGGATGAAGGTCACATGTGTTCGGGAGGGCACTCTGCTTTCCTCAGTCTAATGACTCAAGAGTTAATCTCATCTAAAAACATCCTCAAAACATGGGGAATAATGTTTGAGCAAATATCCAGGCACCTTGCTGCCCAGTCAAGTTGAAACATAAAATTAACCACCACATCATGTTAGTTTCCCATCTTGCCTGCAACCCTTCCTTTTTACTGCTGTATAGTATTCCACTGTGAATCTGTATGGAAAGATATACGTATGTATATGCACACATATAGTTATACTTTATATCAATGAAAAGAAGTATTTAATATTATGTTTGTGAGTTTTATCTATAATGTTACATTTGCTGCAGATCATTCCTTCTCACACTACTTCATTGTGTGACCACATAGACATTAACATATCCAGTCTACTGTTGATGGGTGTGTGGGCAATTTCCAGTGGGGAGGTCTTGTTGATACTGTCACCATAAATATTTGAGTGGCTTCTAGTTTGTTTCTAAACAATGTTGTAAAGGCAACTTTCTGCATGTTTTCTTATACATATAGATAATTATTTCTCCTGGGCAGCCACAGGTCAAGAAGTGACCATCTGGACCATGAGTGGGGAGAAACAACACATTCAGAAAGCTCTTTCTCCATTTATTTCCCATTGGTGGCATCTACCATTTTCTTTCTCTCCATCCTCACAAAAATATGACTTAACCAGCATCTGTCCTCTCTCAGATGTTACTCACAGATTTTGTTTATAAATTTGTATTAAAGTAAAACATACCTACAAAAAAAGTGTTTGCATTTTAAGCATGTAGTGCAATGCATTTTCCTAAATTGAACATACATAAGTAACCCAAATAAAAAGATGGAAAATTACCATCATCGAGAAATGGAATGATGCATTATAGGACCGCTAATTTCATCTTTACCAATCCTGCCAAATTGTTCTGCCAAAGTGGCCTTGTTTACCAACTCTCACTAGGAGAAACGCACACCCATTTCTTGTCACCTTATCAACACTTGAGATGGTCACACCCTAGTTTTGCTACATGGATAAGTAGAAATTCTGTCCTGAGGTTTTTTTTTAAATTTTTTTCATCCTCACCTGAGGACATTTTCCATTTTTTGTACAGATAGAGTGGGAGGGAGAGAGAGAGAGAGAAAGAGAGAGAGAAACATCGACATGAAAGGGACACATCGAGTGGCTGCCACCTGCATGACCAACCAGGGCCGGGGACAAACTGCAACCGAGGTACATGCCCTTAGCGGGAACCGAACCCGGGTCTCTCCGGATCGCAGGCCGAAGCTCTAACCGCTGAGCCAAACCGGCCAGGGCTGTCCTGAGTTTTCAGTTGCTTTTTTTTCCATTTTTAATATTAGCGAGCATCTTTTCATGCTCATTTGCCAGCGGGGTTATTTTTTGCTCGTTTTATGGAATTGTTCTCCTGCTTTGACCCTTAGTGTGAGTGCCCAGAGCTCGCAGAGTGGTTTCCTCCTATTTGCTGCCCTTCGTGACAGATTAATATCATCTCGGGCACAGGGTATACTTCCTGAGCTTCCTGGATTATGCTAAGACTTCCCGGGAACCTTCACGACGGCTGCAGTCTCCTTTGATCATCATTGCACCTGCTGCCTTTTACACCAGGTGTCATTAGCCAGGTGCTGTGCATATTTATTTGGCTCCTGGCGTTTTCGGTGTGAGCGACCAGTGTTACGCTGCATTGGAATCGTACAAGCAGCTTACTGTTTCCACCTGGCTCGCCACCCTTCCTCAGCTAGCTTCATGCCCAGGTAGGAATCTGGGACTTGATGCAACTCAATCTGCATTACAGTAAAAGCGCCACCAGCTAGGGATTCCGGAAGACACGGGTTCTCTCTCATTTCCATCACCAGCTGTGGGGTCCTGGACAAGTCCGCCTTCAGAGCCAGACTTTCCTGGTGTAAAATGAGAACATGGGGGAGCACTCCCTGGCTGCCCGGCAGAGTGGTTTTGGGTGTCAGATGAAAGAACACTGAGACAGTGAGCATTTCCCAGGCACCCAAATCCCATTCATCAGGAGGCTGTAGCTCACTGGCGAACACAGACCCCCGGGCTTCTCGGAGAGCCACCGTGTGCAAACCTGGAGCGGCTCGGGGGTGTGGGACACACGCGTGCTGTGCGCCTGTGTTCACTGAGACAATGAGCAGGCTGCTAATGAATGGCTGAGTGAGGATTCTAAGTCAGAAGGCAACCTCTCTGAAACAAATGCATGATTATGATTGGATTTCAGAAGCGCAAACATGACCTGAATTTGTCGACCTGTGATTAGTCCAAATTCCTAGGTGGCTTTGAAAGTGTAGAATGTGTGGGAGGGGTCCGTTCTGGACGGAAACGCGCCCCTGGGCGGGAGGCCTGTCCGGAGAGCCGCTCCTGGTGGGGCGGGGCCCTCGGTGGGCCTGGGGGGAGGCTGTGCGGCGCCTGGATCGGAGCTGCCGAGGCCGGAGCCACGTGGATCCTCCCTGCAGTCAGCAGAGCTCTTCAATGAAGTGGGCTCCCGGAGGGCTGGTGCCGCTGCTTAGCCGAGCTCCAGCCAGAGCCTCGGAGGAGAGGAGGTGCAGCTCAGCCCGGCTCTCGGGGGGACCTGGACTCTCGTCCTTGGCCGTCGGCGAGGGACGGCCAGGCTCCACTCCACCCCAGCCATGCCAGCCAACCTCACGGAGGGCAGCCCCAGCCCCAACGGGACCACGCGCTCGCCGGATTCCCACGCGGCCAGCTGCTTCCCCACAACTTTCCCAGAGGTCGTGGGAGAGGAGGAGGAATGGGGCTCCTTCTACTCCTCCTTCAAGGTAAGTGTCCTGCCTTCCACCCTCAACGCTGGTTTTAAATAATGTGGCCAGAGGGTCGAAGAGACCCTATTAAGGTGTAAATAGCCAATATTGTAAACGGGGGCAGTTTCTTTTCTTTACTTAAAAGAATGAAAAAAACAACCAAAGTGATGCACTAAAGCAACAAGTTCTCATACCATGCAAGGACCTGTATTGTGGATTTTTTTACGATCGTGGGTCTTTTTTTCCTGCTGCTGCTGAAAATGTATGAATATGAGTGGATGATTTTTTTAAATGTCTCTCCTTTCCATAGGTGAAGATACATTTAATTAATCATAGCGTTGTGCTTGAAATGTCTGACTTGCAGCGGTTGGTGCTGTGATTTTTTTTGCTAGGAACGTCAGAGGGTGGCAAGCCCATGCCCCCCGGGACAGGAAGTACAGGGGAGACACAGACTCAGGAAGGAGGGTGGACCACACTTTCTCTGTAGGTTCTGTGCATTGAGGATCAGTAAGAAACAGATTCTTGGGCTGCAGTGGGTGGTGTGATTCTTAGCAAGTGTTCTCCTCGTACAAAGGAGGCAGAGTTCCCTGAGTTTCAACTTGAAAGTAAGTGAGGGCCCCGTGGAGGAAATGATGCGCACTCAGCTAATACCGGTCCCTCTTCTGCAACAAGACTGGGGTCAGGGCCAAACTGGGCACCTGGAAGACACGTTCCTGCTCCGTGTGGCAGGGTGTGTGCGATGTCAGGTTACTCCCCACTCTGCCCACTGGCTCATTCAGTCACCGCAATCATTCCCACATCTCAAACTGGCCCCTGACACCCAAAAGGAAAATACTTCGAGAAAAATTCTAACAGCTTTTTTTTTTTTGGTACATGCCCCTAGCAGGAACCGAACCCAGGATTCTCTGGTCCGCAGGTCTACGCTCCAACGGCTGAGCCAAACCTGCCAGGGCCTAACAGTTTGTTGTTGTTTTTAAACTCCCTTGGTGTTCTGGACATAATTGGGTTTTTACCCAGCAAGGCAGAATTGCTGGAACACCCCCCTCTCCCAGAGCTTTGCTTCCCTGCGAACACTCAGAATACACTGGCAGCAGGGAGCGGTCCCTGGAGCCAGCCTCGCTCCTCAAGGACCCAGGCGCGCAGGAGCAAAGCAGAACCCAAGTAAGTCCCTGGGGCTGGCTGCTCGGGCGCAGTCCCTGGAAACATGCGCTCGCAGGGCCGCCGGGCTGCCTGCTGCCATTTACCGCTGGCTGGGTAACCCCCCTAGAACTGCTTGCAGACCCCGATCAGCCTGGGAGTCGCTGGCTGTGCGCCCCGGAAGCGCAGGGCTGAGCTCACTGGGCTGCCTCTTTGATATTTATAGAACGTGACAGCAGACGGTGAAGAGACCGGCCAACGCAAAGGGGGTAATAATCAGCAATAAGGTGGTTGCGCTGAGACTCAGGTGATATTCCCTCCCCGCTGGCCCCGGTAGCTCAGCTGGTTAGAGCATCATCCTGATACGCCAGGGTCGCAGGTTTGATCCCCAGTCAGGGCACATACAAGAAGCACCCATTGAATGCATCAGTAAGTGGAACAACAAATTGCGCACGAGCGCTCTCTCTCTCTCTCTTAAAAAAAAAACAAAAAATCAAAAAAGAAAAAAAATGCTCTTAGCTGAAACCCTGTTTGCTCTCTTATTAAATACAGCTCCTGGGGGGATATTTTGAGTATTTGGACAAACCCCTGCCCACTCTCTTCTGTGTTTGTACTTGGTGTTTGTACTTGGTCCAGGCAACGTCGTCGCTGATCACTAGTAGGAATCGCCTTTTTTTTTTCCTTCTTCCTACTGACAAGTTTGCCATCAAACAACTAGACACTGGATGAGGCAAGAAGCAGAGAGCCAGCCGCGAGCGTGCAGTGCTCCGTTTCATGTCCTGAGAGATGCGGACGCTGGGTGGAAACGGTGGTTTTTAATTCCACAGCAGTCCACGGTGGTGTTTCTGGGAACCTCGCTAAGTGTCTCAGAGTAACTGTTTTCCGTGGTCCTCTCGGAGCATACGCAGTTTTGATGCACGACTGATGCAGAAACAGTTCTGATCAAATACAATTTAAAAGCCCGTGTCCACTGGGATGCTTTTATCCCACAGGCGCCTCGAGAAGAAAGTTAGAACTGTGCTTGCGTACTGTCTGCCCAGGCATGCCCTTTCAACCCCTGCCACCTTCACCAAAAGCAGGGAAATCTCAGAAAAACACGAATGGGAACAATTGTCAAAGCAGCAGAACTACGAGCGGCAATGGCTATGCATCTCATTTGCTGTGGGCTTTCTTGGTGACGGGAATCCTTCTCAGTGCCTTCCATGAGGTATTTCATTTCATTCTCACAATTCATGGAGGACTGCTTCCTCCATGAAGCCCCCCTTGACTGATTCCTCCTCTGAATTCCAGTAGTGGCACAAAGTGTACCCCTCCCCTTGCCACTTAATCCACCTCTGTCTTCATCTACGCTTTGAGTATGTGTCACAGTCACTAAGCTCCTTGAGTACAAGCAATGCCTGATGTTCAGCATCTCCCCAGAAACCAGCACCATCCCGGACACACTCGATAAACACTGAGTGCAGAAATGAGGTGCAGTGTTCTGTTTCTGTCGGTAGCCTACATGTTGTCAGACTGGGCAACAGCAAGCTTGCTCTCTCCATGACAGAGGGTTGGGGGGTCTGGTTAAACAGGACTCCACAGTCATCTCTGCCTGCCTGGGCTCCACCAGCTGTACACACCGAGGGCCTTCCCTGGCTCCTTCGGGGTGACCTTAACCCATTTCTAAGCCAACGTGACCGAGGTAAGTTATAGATCCCGGTGGGTGGGGTATGGAATTAGTTAAGGCACCATGGACTAGGAACCTTGTACCTGGTTGAGCTCTGGGGAGCCCACACCCACTGCAGCCTCACCTAGACTCTGCTGTCTTGCCTCAGCCACGTGCCTGGGCTTCTGCCTCAGTTTCCCATCCAGCACTCTAGTTCTTCTCTGAACCCCACAGCTCTCTTGGCGGAGGACGAGACAGCCCTGTCTAGATCTTACTAGCCTTTCTTTGACAGGCTTAGATCCTTTACCCCTTCCCATCTTCACCCCCAAATTCTCGCCCTGTTCTCCCCACCACTCGAACCTACTCTGCCATCCTGAGCATGTCTTTGGATATCAGCAGGGGGCAGGAGTGAGTTCACCACCTTCTTCCTCTAACTTCAAGCGACTATCACGATGTGGTCGGTCCTGGGTTCAAGGTCCTCACACTCAGTTCCCACCCTGGTTTCCTTCCCAGTTTCCAATTTCTCAGACTTTCAAGGTCCCATCTAGCTTACTTCCTCAAGCCCTGAACCCCAGCATTGAGGAATTATCTGGGCTTCAAGAATCTGCCAGAAGTTTTCAAGGAGGACAGAGCTTGTCTCACCAGGAAGGAAATTGGGGACCTGACTATAAAGCTGTCCAAGGGGAAGACAAAGCTGGAATAATAGCCTCTTCATCTCTTCATAACAGCCTTTAACTTGGCCGGGGAATTCATGAGCAGGGCTTCCCAAAGCTCTGGTCCTTGTTGATGAGAAAGTTAATTCAAGGTACCCGGGAAGGAAACCCGCCTCCATTGGTGAAGTTGCCTACGTTATAAAACAATGCAAATGAACTCAGAGTCATTGCTTGCTCTTAGTTGAGGAAAGAAACAGGAACCTAGACTGCTAGATGTCACCTGATGCCCATCACCTGCGTCTTCTGTAGCGGTAGTTACAAAGGGTACCCAATGAGTCTGACTCGCGTTTGTATGCAAACGATGGCTTCTCAGTGCTGGGGGAACAGTTTGCTCCCCTCCTTTGCTGGTTCTCAGTTCAACCCGTATCCCAGTGATCTCACACTGGGCTTTAAACGAGTTTAATTTCAGCAGTTTTTAAGTATACCGTCCTGTGCTTGTTTTCATTCTAGTTCGGTGGATGATTTATCTGTAGGAACTCCTTCTCCCTACTGAGCACCAGCAGTGTTGCCGTCAGTGACTGTCACTTCAGCTCCTCTCTGCCCAAGTGCCTGCTTCCTGGAACCCTCCTCTCACGCCATCACCCCCATCTGGGACTTGCTGGTCTCCCTTCCTGCCCCGGCCCCAGGGCACGTCAGGGATGCCCTTCCTGGAACCCGGGAGCCCCTGGCTTCCCGTGTATCTCCTGCCAGTTCATGCACTCCTAGCCTCTTCTCGTGAGCTCCACTCAGTAGGTTCATTTTGAGTTTCTCCAGGTGCCGCCTGCAGCTGTTCCCACAGACATGACGGCTGGTTTTACTCAGTGAAATAATTGTTAAGGGTCTGCCCTGTACTGCCTGTTTCTGCTACAGGGACGTCAGACTCCACTTTCAAATCCCCTGCCTGAAGGGAGCTGCACCGTGTCCTTTTACCCCGTGTCCTTGAGACAGGCACAGGTGTTGCTGGCCGGCCCCGCAAGGACACCACGCGATTCCCCAGTGGTCACTTCCTACGCAGGGAAGGCACAGGCGCTGGGGGAGGGGCGCTTCTGCGGTGCGGTCCTGTGTGTGGCGGGGATGAGGACGGGCCGAGCCAGGGAGGGGCCTGAGCGGGCATCAGCTGAGGTGAAGGGTTCCTCTGGCCTTCAGGAGTGAGCACCCCAGTCCTGAGCCTTGTGGGGATCCCCATCCGACCCGGGTCAGGTGGGCCCTGCCTTCTGCCACAGCGTCCCTTTGTCACACCTCCCCCGGGGACGCAGGTGGCCACCCTCCCTCCTCCCCTCTCTCAGTCCTGCACATGGCTGGGTCTTTACTGAGAATGAGAAGGTTCCCTTCTTCGCTCCCAATTCCCCGCAGCGGAAAGCAAAGTGGGGTTGTCTCTGGTTAGTCTCTGGCCACGCGGCCACCACAGGGGGACCGCTCTCTCACCCCGGTAGCTGGGGGAGTCCCGGGCTGCCATTCCCTGGTCTCTATTCCGCAAGCCCCGTTCTTGTCCGGAGCCCCACACTTCGTGGGTGGGGTCTCTCGCTCGCTCGTGCGAACCTGGG